GCCCTTCTAGAGCTTTCCACTTGGTTTCACTAACCCCCCCTCCCCTCCCTTCTGGGATCAGAAACTGGGGGGGGGAGACATTCTAATTCTGTGTCCTGTGAATCTCCTGTGAGAAAAATTAAACCTTAGGACGGGGGGGCATGCAAGGGTTTAGGGGACCCTTGGCTTGCTGGGAGAAACACAAACACACAGGGTTCACCCAGGCGGACTCCAGGGGCACCAGGCCTGTCAGCGCATCTGCCAGGGGTTCATAATCTCATAGCCAGGTTTTTTTTAAGAGCAGAAAATGGGGGGAGAGAGAGAGAGAGAACTCTTGACAGCAGCTGCATTAAATAATGAAAAATAATCCTAAGTCGTCCAGACGTTTCCCAGGCCTCTTTCATATTAATTAACTCAAGATATTATTAATTTTCTGTCCTTGTGTCAGTCAAGATATGATGAAAGCCTCCAAGACTTGCCCCTCGTTGCCCAGTTTGAGATCCTCCTCTGCCGATACTGGAGTCGGGCTGGGCGGCTCGCTGTCAGCCTGGCGTTGTGAGGCTGCTCTGCGTCTGGCTAGGCAAGATTAATGCACTGCTTCAGGCCTCATCTCCTCTCCAGCCTCATTCAACAGCAGCACGTTGAAGGTCTTGACCCTGGCTCCTGATTGGCTCGCTGATTGATTTACCCACATGCTAATAATATTTCAGAGGCACTCTGCTGCGACTTGCAAGTTTTTGGTCTTTCAACCACTATGCCACCTGCTGGCCTATTCTGGGCGGAAGGCCAGGTGATAATCCCCTTTTACAACTGGCCAGTCGACATCACAATGGAGACGGTGGCGGCGGGGGGGTCAGACCACAGCAATCAAAACAATGATTAACTCCCCCTCCCCCCTCTTGTCACCGACATGTGATTAGTGTCACGCGTCCGTGGGAGCGGCGGCGCCCGTCGTGAGACGCGCAGACGGAGCCCATGCGGCACGCGGCGTTGGCAGTAACCCTGGCAGCTCAGGCTACCTTTCGGACACTTGAAATGTTAACTGCCGTCGCGCATGATGGCTTCTGAGAACGGGCAGGGAGGAGACGCTGCTGCTCTTAAAATAGGCACGGCTTAAATCCTGAAACCGCGCAACAAGAAAAAGAAAAAAAAACGGCTGGTGCCACTCGGGCCGCGGTCTGTTTAGAATAGTTTCTGCACTTTTTCTCAAGGTTTTTACCTTATACAGTAACCCCCACACTGCAGCTCTCGCCCTCAGCAGCTTCCTGTAAGATCAGCACCCCAGCAGTATGCAGCTGCTCTTTAAGAAAGAAGCTCTTACATGTTTGAGCATAAAGGCATTTTTTCCAAACCGCCCCCCCCCCCCCGCCACTGCAGGGATTACGGTGATTTTGATCAGACGCACTCGCCTTATTTGTAGGGTCTGCCGTGCATCTTAAAGCACTTCAGGGACGCCTGCAGCACAAGGCCACAAACGTGCTGAACTTTTCACTGAGACAAAAAAAAAAAAATGGAAATTAGGTGGAAATTAAGAAAGAAAATATCACTTGTTTTGTTTAACTTATTTTTCTTTATTAATTTGAAGATATTATATAGTCTAAATGTGTGCACGGGGGGGTGCCCCCCCCCCAAGGTACGATATTTCCCTGCTGACTGAGGTGCACCATCAGTCTGGGGTAAACCCCAGAGCGTTGCCATAGCGATGCCCATTGTACGGAGGGGTGAAGCCGCACAGTAGGCAGTAATCTGTGCTATCCACCTGATTGGTGAGGTTCATGATGCCCCCCCCCCCCAGTAAAAATACGAGCAGGGTTGACCTGGCCATCTGATATCATTCACACATCCTACCTGCTGGTCCCCTATGCGATGAACTTCTGCAGTGAGATGCCATCAACTAGGACATAAATTAAACATCTTCTTGAATTTCATAATCAAGGAATTGAAATAAATCCTCTTTCCCTAACAGTTTTTCACACGAGGCTCTGCTCATCCCACCAGTCTAATTCTGGTCTTCTCACGGCCTCCCTCAGCGAATGCTATAAAACACAGAAATCACAAATAGCCTTCGTCTGACTTTGTTTCTTAGACTTTCGGCTCTTTATTCCCGCCAATGACAAGCGGCCGCCCCCTTTTCGCTGTACTCGTGTGTGCGTGCATGCATGTGTGTTTTCTGAAAGAAAAAATGTGCACAAATACTCGATAATGGAAAGAAACGGCGTCCCAGGGGTCATTTCCTACAAGGAAAGCGAGATTGCGATGCAGAGGAAATCAGTAGTTAACGCATGAAATACTGAGCACTGTAAACAGAGAGACGACCTTTTCTGTTACACCCAGATGACCTCAATCTTCCTTCTGAGGTGTTCTGAGAAAAAATACTTTAAAATTTATGTCTTCCACTTCCTAATAGTTTTTCCAGCTGTTTTTTTTCTACTCTGCTGTCCTGTAGATTGTGAACCCCCCCCCAACCCCACCCAGCAATTGTCTTTCAGAAAAATGTACAGCTAGCTGCTGTTTGTATATGACCAGCCTTAAAGTACACATAATTCCTGAAGTCATTGTTTCAAAGAGGAAGTCTTCCATATAAGCAGAATGAATGATAGAGCAGGTGCTCAGGTCATGGAGTGCACTGCATATGGAAGAGGCTCGAAAGTCCATGAGACATGCGGGGGATCGCTGCCCGTTATCGTTCTGTCCTTCTTAGCTGACAGTCGCAGTTGTGACCATAAGCACACCACCAGTCAGATGTTTATACAGACCACAAGGTTTTTACCACTTTTCCATTCATTTCATAAACTGCAGATTTTTTTTATTCTTGTTAAGCATTGGAAAGTTGAGTGATACATGAAAATTTAAGTTAAATAAAACAAGTGAGTAACATTTGTGTAGAATGTGTGCAAAAACTTTTGACTGGTAGTGCACATCTTGATATTTAGAAGAGATTCTTCCGGTTAAGTACCTGGCTCAAGGATTGAAGAGCATTGAAGTTCCAGATCACACGCCTGTGTTCTTCTCCCAGATCTCCATGAGGCCAGAGAACAGAACCCTAAGCTGGGGTGCCACCTGACCACCTTATGATCCAGCACGGTGCTCTTTAAGACTTCCTTTGAATTAGTAAAACCGAGACACTAATTGTTAGGGAAAAAAGTGTTTGGAAATCATGCACATCTATTTTTAATCAGCAACAATGTTCTGCTGTCCTGCGTTTCTGTTGACACATAAATAGAAATTATATTCATATTCAAAGGCCCAGAAAATAATCAGAGAGGATTAATATGCTATACATGACTCTGTCCACCGCTCCTTGGCATGATGCAAGTTATTTACAACATGATAAGGATCTGGACTTAGAACAGGCTTCAGTACAGAAAGGACAGCCTATCCAAGGTCCGCTTCACCACCATTTAATCAAAACGGTGACCTGAAGTGTGAGGTCATTCTGGAGACAAGTCTTGTGGCCCCTTTCCTAAAAAGGCTGTTTTCAGTATGGAAACTACCCGAGCCGCGTAGCCCATCGCGGTGTGTTCTCCACATGGAGCCGCACAGCCGAGGAACTTGCCGTTTGACGAGCCGCGTAGCCCATCGCGTTGTGTTCTCCACGTGGAGCCGCACAGCCGAGGAGCTTGCCGTTGACGAGCCGCGTAGCCCATCGCGTTGTGTTCTCCACGTGGAGCACTTTTCTGCAAGCTTCTGGAAGGCGGAGGGAGACTTCAACCGGACCTCCCATGGTACATTTACCAAAAAAGCAGGTGGGAAAGTATGAATAATGACGTCGATTTCTGTGGAAGCCAACGAGCTGAACGCACGTTTGAGCAGAAATCTCTAGAAGGTCACAAGGTTGAGGAGGGATTGTTCTCCACTCCGCCTATCTCTGCTCCAGTGGATCCAAACGAGATGACAGCGACTGACTGCTCGCTCTGCCAGCTGAGAGATGGTGGGCTTGGCACATGTAACACTGTGCAGCAACCAGACAGAGGGCTGTGCTGAGCAAACATTCATGTATACATACGGGGAAACATATACTTTTCAAACAGACATATTTATGTTATATGCACAGATGAGAGGTACGCGCCACACCGCTGTGTGTGTGTATGTGTGTAATTCTTACAGTGTCGGTCACCAACAAGACCTCACATGCTCCAGCTCCACAAAAAAAAAAAAATCCTCAAAGCATCACTGAAGCTTTTTTTCTCCCCCAAGATTACCAGGTAAATTTGGGGCAAGAGGCGAAAGGAATTGAGATGTAGGTGTGAAGTTGAGGGAGGTAGATAGAGCGAGAAAGCGACAGGCAGAGGAAGAGAGAGAAAAAAGAGGGAAGGAGAAGGAGGGAGAAAAGAGCAGCTCTGCACAGCAGACCAGGCGTGCTGCCTTAGCACGGGTGCGAGGCTGGGAGGACACCCTTGGGGAGAAGGCTTTCAGCATGTGTCCCTATGCTGAGACGCTGCCTCGTCCAACAGGGAGATAGTATAACATATTCAACCTGTTTCTGCCGTGCTGCTGTGGGGAGGTTTTGTCTCGCCACAGACAGGCCGATTGCAATCTGGCTGTGGTTTGAAGCTCCTCTTCCACTCAGAGCTTGATTCTGGTTTACAGTGAAACTCAGAGTAAGGTGCTTCTGACTAAGCTCTTATCCTTTTCTGTCCTCCTGCTCTCCGATTATCCTCTGATGGCATCTAAGCGACTGTAACGTTCATACAACATGCACGGTCTAAGGTTTTTGTCCTATATCGTTTTATAGGATAGTGTGATTTGAGCGATTTTAGTGAGGGTCCGGAGAGGGGACACTTTTGGTGATGAGCAGCATTGATGCATCTGGCCTTTCTGAGCTGTTTATAGGCCATGATCTAAAAATATGATGTTTGATCTTAAGGCTTGATGTGACAGATTAGACGCATGAGATTATCCTAAAAATCACCGTATGGTGCAAACTTTCTACATCATTACGTGTCTCTGAAATTCAAGGGGTGCTCACCATTTTGTTTCTCTCTCCCTCTCTCTCCCACATGCCCATCTCCCCCTTGAAGCTGAAAGGGCTGTATGCACTGATAGGACCTCAGGAAAATCCAAGATGGCTGCCAAAAGAAAAGGCGGCTTGAAGCTGAATGCTATCTGCGCTAAGCTGAGCCGGCAGGTGGTCTACGACTCCACCTCCCAGAATGCCGAGGAGGGGCCCGGCCTGGCAGACAGTTGCGAGAGGGGCAGCCTGCACCATGAGGATGCTGATCGGCCCGACGTTGACTACCTGGAGGGCCCAGCCCCCGAGGACGACCAGCGGCGGCGCGAGGCCATTGAGCGCTGGGTGAATGGGGACTACGGCGAGGAGACTTCGCTGGAGGGGGCGCGGGAAAGCCCCCCCGAGGGGGTTTACATGATTCAGCCCAAGGGCTGCAGCGAGGAGGAGGATGACGCAGGCGAGGAGCATTCCAGCCTGCCCGGCTCACGCAACAGCAGCTACCGCGAGGACCGCGACTCGGAGGACACGGGACCCAAAGAGGACAGCTACGCCTCCCCTGGCGAGACCCCTGGCCGCCAGGCCCCTTTCTCCTCTCCTGGTACTTTCTAATCTCCTTTCTCATAATGCACCTCTGTGTCAAACACGCCCACTGCACCTACCAATTCACTTTGCATGCTTTTTCTTTCCCACAATGCACCAGTGATCCTCTGCTGCCACTTTTTTAGCTAGTGGCAGGAATAGAAAACACTGGGGCGTCACTCACATCAGGAGCGGGGGTCCCGGCGAGCCCTAGGCGGAGATGGCCGCGGACGCCGGCCGGCTAGGGTTACGGCAGGAATGGCCGGTGACTTATGGCCAAGGAAACAGATGCGAGTGGGAAAAGAAGACAGACGCTTGGTTTACTGATGTGATAAAGGAGCCGTGGGAGCAAACTGTGGGTCGAGCGAGGAAGGGGGACCTGGCACGACTCGCTGGGCTCGCCTTACACCCAGCCTGGCGCTCCGGGCCTCCGCTGGCCCCTGTGCTCTGCCACTATAGTTAGCAGCATACCCCGGTCCCACAAGTGCTGTTGGTGGCCTTTCCCTGCCAGGCAAGCCCCCTCACACTGAGGCTGGGGGGGGGCACACCTTAATTAAGCAGGCAGGATGAGCTGAAGGGGCGCATGTCGGCTGGGGCAGGAATCAAGGCCAAAAACCGGCACACTTTCACTGTTCACTGTTGCTTTCTGGAGCTGGTGACACAGCGGGGGCCACGTGCACCTGAATTTTAAAGCAGATGAGGTCATTTGCCGGTTCCTCCTTAATTATTTGATACAACTATGTTATGTTACATGTGGCCTCAATAGCTGAGATCTCCCTGTCAAAAGCCACACTAACATCACCGATACTGACTGTCTACTTCCAGCCAATGCCTAGTACTGATTAACATGCACAGGAGATCAGATCACAAGAAAGTGATTTTTAGATACCCCGCCATATTTAATCTTAAGCAGAGTTCCAGTCTCTGCCAAAGAAGTACAGGAGAGCCTCTCACCAGCCTTGCTGGTTTTCAGAACGCGCCCATCATGGACAAGCGAACAATCAAATGAAGGTGTGGCCTTGCACTGGCCAACACCCCCGTTAGGACCATCCCCTAAAAAAACTGTAGCATAAATGGATTGGTCTGGATTGGGGGCCCAATATGATATGGTAAATGGACTGCATTTATATAGCGCTTTTTACCAAAGCGCTTTACAATGTATGCCTCACATTCACCCATTCACACACCGGTGGTGGAGGCTGCCATCCGGCTCACCGGGAGCAATTTGGGGTTCAGTGTCTTGCTCAAGGACACTTTGATGGGGTCAGGAGGACTCGGGGCTCAAACCTGCAACCCTCCAGTTGCCGAACGGTAGCGCTACCTCCTGCACCACCATCACGATATGCTTTCATGGGGCCCAGAATGATTAGGGCGCCCCTGGCCCCCGGACCCTGGCGTCGTCTCGTGTACAGGCGGGTTGAAAGCAGGCCAGCTGCAGCGAGCAGAGGTGGTGCAGCAGATGAGGTCAGCCTGCAGGGCGCCGAGCGGCGCGAGTCGCTGCAATCCGCCCCATTCCTTTGCATCGCTGCAGTTTTGCTCGTTCATATTACTTTGCACACTTTTCGTTTTTTTTTTTTTTTAGGTGGGGGTTTCTTTCATCTTGTTTATTATCTATTTTTTGTTCCGCTGGCTGCAGATGTTGTTTTTTCATGCTCTCTCTCTCTCTCTCTCTCTCTCTCTCTCCTCGCCGTCTTCACACCAGCCGCGTATCTGTGGCCTCACTCATGGAAGCGGGGACAAGGCTTCTCAGAACAAAAGAGAAAAAAAAAAAACCAAAAAAAGTGCTTTTTCCGGCAAATGCTGAAGCTCTGTGGTTTTAATTAGTCATTTAGTATTTATTTCATGCCTATAAGCAGCCTGCCTGTAAATATGTGTTTGTGTCGTGAAACAAGCTGCACCTTCGCGGCTCGGGGCGGAGGTAAAGCGTCTGAGCGCTGGCTGCATTAGTATCTTGCCTCTTCTGAGAGCATCCCCCCCCCCCTGTTGATTGTAACTAGGGCATCTATATTGCTTCGTTTCTGCACAGCTCACAATTAAAATACCCTCTATCCCCCCCCCCCCTTTTCCCCTCGCGCTCGCTGCTGTCTTTCAAAGGCTGATGTGAAGCACACATAATTATGCATATAAACATAGTGGCTTAATTATCTCCCACAACATCAGTGACAATGTAATTAACAAACACTGCGAGATCAATAAGAGAAACTGCGACCTTCAAAACATTTCAGCTTCCCCGTGCCGCCGCGCAACGTCGATGCCGCATCACCGCGGCCATGGCACCGATCCCGCCGCCCGGATCATCTCAGAAGTCACCGGAATGTGAGACCAGCGAACGGCACGACTTCACACGCATCCTTAGGGGATCAAACGCAGCCACCCGCATGCTCCAACCCAACTGACGGCCCGCTGACGGTCGTGCGTGTTTTTTTAACCCCACCAAAGGGCCAGGCCAAACTTTTCTTATTATCGATCGTCAAACATTTACAAACAGAAACGCGTTTAATCGCCCCTCGCCTCGCAGAAAACGGCTGAAGAAGAAATAAAATCTTTGTTGCCTGAAAAAATTTTGCCGCTCGAGGATAATGCATTAGCATAATAGCAGTCAAGAGTCACATTAATGTGTCTGTGAGCTCAGTTTCAAAGAATCTGGAGTATTCAAAAGAATCTAAAATCTCATCTCCCTGTTCTGAGAAGCTGGCATCCAAAAGGTGACACAAAAGAGCGTTACCAGCCCCCCCTTCCCCCGCCCCGCCCCGCCACTAATGTCCCTGTTTGGTCGCCGCATCTCCTGCTTGTTATCTTACAGAGGGGGAAAAATGTGCCCTAACGGACTCAAAGGTGGGCAGGGTCTATGCCACATGGTGGAATGTGCCCTGCATGAAGTTCCCAGATAAAGAGCCCCTCTCTCCACTCTGCCCCTAATCACCCGCTGGGAGAGACAGAGCACAGCCCTGTGGTTGCCATGGCAGCCGCACCGGCATCATATGATGATAAGCTGCAGGATTCCCTTATGATGGTTACTTTTTCCCAAAAGTTGTAGGATGTTGTATTTGATGCCTGCCATGTGGGACTGCAGAGCACTGGGGTGTGTGACTCACTGCAGGACAAGAAAAGGGAATTTGAAGCAAATTAAAGGTTTCTGGGGATCTATAAAGAAATGGAGAAGTAACAAGGAGTGGGAATGGTCTACCCTGTGGAGGGGGGGGGGCATTATTATTAATCTAAAACCAATCCAGAGACGTCACCGTTTCCCCCCCACTACCTGCAAGGTTTCTACAAACCCAGGATGGCGTCCATCGTGACAGTAACAGGTTGATTGTCTTTTTGTCTGCTTTGTTTTCTTCTCCAGAGGCAGATACCAAAAGACCTGTGGTGTCTTGCAAGGCCTCTGGTGGGGGTGTAGGCCCCCCCAGCTCAGGTCAGAGGGCAGTGAAGGGCTCTGGTGAAGGTCAGCTTCATACCTCAGGCCAGGGGACAATAGGTAACGGCAGCACCCGTCAACCACAGCCTCACACAACACCGCAAAGACCGTCATTATCGTTATTGTTATCGTCCTTGCTGCTGACACAAAATGAGTTATCCAGCGCATCTCAGATAAGCACATTCCTCACCAGAGAGCTTCTTCCTAGTGCTCACACCAGTCAACCCCTATATCACACACTCTTTACAGTTGTGATCCGTTATCCGTAAGCACCCTCCTGGACGATTGCTTTACCCAATACTGGGTCCCAGTATTTATTTCTCTAGTTGTTTCGGAGATGGCTGAACAGGTGGAAAGCTGTATTACTATTTCATATCACATGTCTGGGCTCATGTACTGATTGTTCGTCTAAGTTATCTTTTTTTTCCCAGCATAGTCCCTTGGGTGTGTTTCATCATGTTCCTTGCTGACAGCGTTAGTATATGTTACACATACACGGCGTGGGGGTGGCACTAGGCCGGCTCGGGGGTGTACACGCTCGTTTTCACTAGGAGACATGGTAAAATAAAGCAAAATACGACATGTCAACCAGACACCCGAGAGCAGCCACGAACGCCAAATTTATTCAAAAAAACCACTTCGACCACTTCCATCCTGTACTGTCATTTAATATCAGCGTTGCGGGGGGCGGCGGGGGGGGGGGCTGTCGCGAACCGTCACGAAAAATTCCGTTTAAAGGCGACGCCGGGGAGCGGAGCGAGCCGCGGCGGCTGGACAGGTATTCCCTCTCAAATAGCCGATACATTTCTTTTAAATTTTTCATGCCCTTTCGATGTGGCAGATCGCCTTTCATGCTGATGTGCCGCGGGAAGGAGCAGCCCCCAGCGGCGCGGTGGAAACTCGGGGATTGTTTTACACGCCCGGGGGGGAGATGCGAAAAGCAGGGGGCGGCCGACCGATTTAGCAATAACGCCGAAATCGGAGACCAAAGCTGAAATATTTTAGTATTAATTACCAGGGCAGCGGCTTGCGTTACCCCATAGCGGTCTCGGGTGGACCAGGACACCGAAAAAAGTGATCAAATTAATGAATTAAAGGTCTGCAGCCGCGATGACCGGCGGCCCCCCGAGAGCTCGCGACCTGCCCACTGCGCGGTCCCGTCTTCTTCTTTTTATTATTTTACTTTTTTACGCAGCCATCAAACCCCATTCGCCAACCTGGATGAAAATTAATGGGCCAGAATTAATCTCTACATAATGCAATTAAAACATACATTTACCCCCGATTCCTCACGTCCGTGGGGAGGTTGCTGGATTTAATGGACTCTGAAAATAATTTTTAAAATAAGTTTCAGCGCGTAAATAAGAAGTGTGGGTGCTGATCCCCGGTGGGGCGCCTTAGTCCGAGGGGCTTTGAGATAAGTAAGCGCCGCTTCTCGGTGCGCCTGAGACAGTATAACAGGACGGGGCGGGACTCCATTAGGAAACCCCAGCTTATTTACCCCCAGGTGCCCGGAACACCTCCGCCCAGAAAAAGAGCGTGAAGTACAGAAATACGGTTTTTTAAGGTTTCAAATTTTGTCATCGTTTAATTTCGTCCCCTTAATTATTTTCTGTCTGGAAATCTCACTGAATAAGTCAGAAAGGCCACATAGAGAATTTTCGCAATGACTGACATGTTTATAAAGTTTCGGTGGTTACACTGATAACATTTTACCAAAAGTCACAATATTTTCCTCTTTTCTCGAAAATACAGTGTTTTATGTGTTGTATTTGCTTGTAAATTGCAGAAGTTTTGTAATGGCTTTAATTTTCACAAAGCTGTCGTTGTGATAGTATATTATTACTATACAAAGAGTATTGTAGTTTTCTTAGCTCCACAGAGGGAAATATCACTACACAAACAGTTACATTAAGAGCTGCAACCACCTTACAATTTAATGTTAATTTTATTTTTCCATCCATTTGGCCCCCCTTCATTGACTTGGAAGCCCTAAGCTCCGCCCCACTGACGGTGTCCTGTATTTCTCGTCCCTGAAGGTGAGGCCCACGCTCTGCGTGACTACGCTGCCAACACCATGAACGAGTTCCTGGGCATGTTTGGCTATGATGATCAGCAGGTGCGCGACGAGCTCGCCCGCAAGATCAGCTTTGAGAGGCTCAAGGTAGCCACCTGTGACCCGGCGCCCCCTGGTGGCGAGGAGGTCTCCCGACGTGCTCGATTTTCCAAGTATGAGGAGTACATCCGCAAGCTAAAGGCAGGCGAGAGCCCCTGGCCCCTGCCCAAGGCTGACGAGGCCGGCCCCAAGCTAGGCCAGGAGAAGGCCTCGCTGCTGCCGGCCCCGGGCTGCCTCCAGCCCTCCGAGGGCCGCCTCCAGGCCTCTGAGGGCCAGGTCTACCCAGCCGGCTCCGACCACAAAGCCGGGGGCCACCTGGGGGGCCCGCCCGCCAGTCCCACACAGATGCAGGGCCTGGCGTCACGTGCCTCCAAGTACGACTTCTTCATCCACAAGCTGAAGATTGGAGAGAGCCTGAGGCAGCAGAATGGCGCCACCTACAGACGGCCCTCCAAGTATGACCTAGAGAACGTCAAGTTCCTGCATCTCTTCAAGCCCGGGGAAGGGAGCCCCGACATGGGTGGGGCCATCGCCTTCAAGACCGGCAAGGTGGGCCGCCCGTCCAAGTACGACATCCGAAACATTCAGAAGCTGATGCCCGGCAAGCCAGAGGCGGCTCTCATGCCCAACGTGCTCCAAGCGCCTCCGGGCAACCCCACGGCCACCGCCCCGGGTGCCAGCGCCGCCACCAGCGTTCCCGGGGACCAGGCCGGACCCCTGGCCTTCAGTGCTGCTGACTACCTGAAGTCCAGCTTTTCCAAGACTGACTCCATCACCACGGGAACCGTGTCCTCAGTCAAGTAAGGCCCAGTGACAGGAGGAGAAACACCAAATAATGTCATTAATCTTTCATATGGGACATGCTGCCCACTAACGGTCACTTTAATGTCTGAATTGTACTTAATATATCAATGGACATGGAATTGTTCTGTCAGTCCTGGTAGTACGTTTGGAGAAACCTAGCGTATGGTTAATCTCATTGTCTTCTTTACCCAGGGACCATCCCATTTAACCACACACTTTAGATTCCTATTTCTACAGTAGGTTTTTCCAATTGCATTTCCTTAGTTTTATCCCTTAAATTAGGCTTGTTCAGTTCTCAGACTGGGCAATAAAAGATATTATTCCTTCTGTTTGAAATAGGTGAAAATATATCAAATAGCCTAAATATCTCACTGCCCAAGATGAGTGTCCCCGTTTAACATCACTTGGGGGCACTGGGATCGACTGGGAGCTATCCCACCACGCGAGTCAGCGCTGTGTCTGCTGTGACTCTGCGGTCACCTGAAGGCCGCCTGAGTCGCTAGGCACCCATCCCGAAGCGTGTGCTGGGTGATGGAGTGGGGTTGGCCAGGTGTGAGAGCAGCCCCCTCCGCTTTTACGTGCTCAGTACGCACCTTTACACATTTATACAACCAGATATTTTCAACATTCTTGAAATGTAACAACAGTTCAACAATATTTAAAAAAAAAAAAAAACAAATTGAAAATGGTTGAGTTTCCTATATGGCAGCCCCCCCCTCACCTCCCAAGAACGGCAGCTCTCCGGAGACGGGCACTCCCTCAGAGTCCTAGGGGGCTTGCTTCTTTGTGGTCTGTGACCCCTACCCCAGCCATTACATCACTGCATTTGCGTACACGTGCACTTTCCAAAGAAAGCCCATGCATGATTTATGCTGCATTTTTCTTTTTATTGTTGGGAGGCAGTGCATCAGAGCACTCATACAACCCCCCCCCCCCCCCCCCCCCCCCCC